GTTTACGAGCTAAAAGTTGAATGCGTTTTCAGGAACAAGGGCAATAACTCATACTAAGTATTTTTTGATTCTTCTGATTTTCTATAGGGTTCATCCTTGGGTGATTACGAACACTTACACCAAGTTTCGTTAAAATCCGTCCCTTCTAGATTGTTAACGAGCTAAAAATTGAACGCTTTTTCAAGAACAAGGGCAATAACTCATACTAAATATTTTTCGATTCATCTGATTTTCAATAGGGTTCATCCTTGGGTAATTATGAACACTCGCACCAAGTTTCGTCAAAATCCATCAAGAGTTGTGCCTTCTAGAGTGTTTACGAGCTAAAAATTGAACGCATTTTCAAGAACAAGGGCAATAACTCATACTAAATATTTTTCAATTCTTCTGATTTTTAATAGGTTTTATCCTTGGTTGATAACAAACACTCATGCCAAGTTTCATCAAAATCCATCAAGAATTGTCCCTTCTAGAGTGTTTACGAGCTCAAAATTTAACGCGTTTTCAAGAACAAGGGCAATAACTAATTTTTCGATTCTTGTGATTTTCAATAGGGTTCATCCTTGGGTGATTACGAACGCTCATACCAAGTTTTGTCAAAATCCGTCAAAAATTGTGTCTTGTAGAGTGTTTACGAGCAATTGTTGACGGCCGGACCGACGGACGGACCAACAGACATGGGTGACGCCAATATACGCCCCCATTTCATGGGGGCGTATAAAAATCACTCTTAGTCTACCCTCATAAAGCTACTAGCTTCAAAAAATTCATTAGCTTTATTCAAAACTACTAACTTTTTATAGCTGTTTGCTGTTTATCAACATAACTTTCATAACTTTAGTAACAATGCGATTTTATTAAGTAGCTTTATAAAGGATTGTAATCCATATAGGTAACTTTTATATACCGGTACCGTATATTTCCTAATATAATTTGCATTTGTTTTAACACATAAAAGGGCTCCACACAGCACTATACATGGCGAAATATTTTTTTTGAGTATTTTTCCCCCTGAAGATTTTATGTAAATATGATCACTTTATTGATCAAAATAATGACTCAATAGGCTGATTATGTATTTGTTGATTGTTTTATATAGTAATATTTCAATAAAGAAAGTGATGTTATGATGTGATGATACGAGAAAGTGCACTCGTAAATACCCCGCATTCGTTAACAAGAATAACTAGAGCCACATGTCACACAAAGTGGGACTTTGCTACTGTAGTAAATTGCAAGAGACTCTGAAAAAATCAACCTTCTAGGTTAATTAAGTTACGTGCCAGAATTGTCTAAAGTTGAGAAGTTTTAATTCTTTGAAAGATTGTTATATCGAAAGTAGACATAAGATAGCCAAGGTCAATGACCTTAAACATTGAAAAGAGAGGTCAACATAGGTCAAGGTTACGAGATACAAGTCATCAAAATGTATACAGCTATAAAACCGGAAGTTGACATAGGACAGCAAATATCAAAGTATAAATAGATAACCAATGTGAATTACCTTTGATCCTACAAAAGTCAAGGTCAAAAAAGGTCAAGGTCAAAATTTAAAATACTGAATTTTCAAAACCTGTTCCTTATTTTGAACTTTAAAGCTGAAACAACCGAACTTAAAAAACAAAGTGGCTCAAAAGATGAGGTAATTATATGCAAAGTTTCATTTTGAACAAATGTATTCTTTGCGAGTTATGCCCCTGGCCAAAAATGTCAATAATGAGTAATTTAGCCCCACTGGAAACGCCCACCTCATTTTTTTGGTATAAGTTAATTGATATTCTACATGTTGTATTATGTTCTAAATTTCAAGCTTCTACATCATACAGGTCAAATGTCGATTTTGTCGATTTTGCCTGGCTTTCGCCAAGTTGATGACCTTGACCCTTTCATTTAATGTTAAAACTTTACGTGTATGCTTCGACATTTTGAAAATGAATGGCTTTTGCTTAGCTGCCTTTTTATATCGATAATAGACTGACATTAATCATTAACAAGCTATAAAATTAATCCTTAGTCCAATTAGCGATAATCTCGATTAATCTCACCAATATGTGAAACAACGTGATGTTTAATCAAGGGAGTTAATAAGTGTCATGGTCGCTTAATTGACTCAATATGATTACACGCGAGTGTAAATACACGGTCACTGGACGCGTAATGAAGGTGGTTGCTTATCAGTCGTTGATTACATTGAAAACTCGTAGGGGGGATTTTATTGTGGTCGCATAATGAAGGTAATTGCTTAATAAAGGTGGTCGTGTGAGCAGGATATACTGTAGGTCATAAGATATACATACATTAAGCTCAAAATAGCAAAATTATTGTACAAAAGACTAATTTAAAAAAATTACAAATTTAAATTTTGCTTTTAAAATAGTTTGGTTATATATCGCTGGAAAGAGCATGAGAAGCACTTTAAGAACCCGAAAAAATTAACCTTCTAAGTTAATTGGGTCATATGCTAGAGCAGTCCAAAGTTGAGAATTTGGCTGTTTTCAGACATAGATAAAACCGGAAAAACAGAGGTCAAATATGGAAGTATCAACTGATAGGCATGGGCAATGACCTTTGACCTGATAGAGTCAAAGTCATTTTTACGAGAAAGCTGGAAATAATACAAAAAATTTTGATTAAACCATTTTGTTTACTTTGGTGAGTTGTCTACACATAAATTTTTACATCAATTGATCAAAAAAAATCGAAAATAGCGAAATTTGACTAAAAAAAAGGGTGCTACGAATTTTTGAATTTTTTGTACTGCTATCAGTTCTGATATTCTTTGTAGATTCCAAAAATGAAAAACTGAAAAAAATCGACTGAAAATTGTGACTTCTAGAGACCATTTTGTACTTTTTGCAAATGTTTCAACGTAGCACTTTCGGTTTTGCAAAAATGTTCTAATATAAATTTAAAGCATACATCGTCAAAAAGTAAAGAATACCAGTTTTTAAGATTTGATTGCAAATGTAGCAAAATGCAAAAGACTGAAAAAATCAACTTTCTACGATAAAGAACAGTCTTAAGTTGAGAAGTTTTGATTCTTCGGAGGATTGTTATACCTGAATTAGACAGACCTCACAAATGAAAGTATCAGAAGATAGTCAAGGTCAATGACATTTGACATTGAAAAGAAGACGGTCAACAAAAGTCAAGGTTACGAGATACAAGTCATCAAAATTTTGAAATATATACGGCTATAAAACCGAAAGTTGAGATAGTACAGCAAATATAAAAGTATAAATAGATAGCCAATGCGAATGACCTTTGATCCTACAAAAGTCAGGGTCAAAAAAGGTCAAGGTCAAAAATTGAAAATTTTGAATTTTCAAAACCTGTTCCTTTTTTTGAACTATGAAGCTGAAACAATTGAACTTCTAAGACAACGTGGCTCAACAGATGAAGTAATTGTATGCAAAGTTTCATTTTGAACAAATGTATACGTTGCGAGTTATGTCCCTTGCCAGAAATGTCTATAATGAGTAATTTAACCCGGATGTGACATGCCCACCTCAATTTCTTTTGTATAGGTTAATTGATATTCTAAATGTTATGTTGTGTTCCAAATTTAAATCTTCTACATCATACGGGTCAAAAGATATAGGTCAACAAATGTCAATAAAGGTCAAAATAGAAAATTGAAAATATGGAAATGTCAAAACAAATGAGGTAATTGTGTGCAGAGTTCCGAATTTGGCTGTTTTTGGACAGCTATAAAACCGGAGGTCAAATGTCAAAGTATTAACTAATAGCTAAGGTCAATGACCTTTGACCTTATAGAGGTCAAGGTCATCAAAGGTCAAGATCACAAGATATGAGCCTTTAAACTTTGTAAAAATTCAACCGGAAGTTGCAAAAAAGCAAAATCGAGAATCGAAAAACAGCTTCCTAATGTCATGTTTTTTTTTTATCTTCTTTCATTTGACACCAAAATCATTTAAATCGGATATGCCGTTATGTCTGAATAAAAATCGAATCAAAAATCAAAAAATTGAAAAAAATGCAAAATTTGGCAAAAAAAATGTCTGCAACAAAATTTCGTATTTTGAAATTTTTAAAGTGCTATTCTTTCAGATTTTAACAGTAGATTCCAAAAATACAAACCCAAAGAAAATCGACCGAAATATACAACTTCTAGAGCCGATTTTCTATTCTTGCACATATTGAACTGTGGCACTTCCGGTTTTGCAAAAAAGATCCAAAATAAAAAAAAAAAAAAGAATTGACACTTCGATAACTAGATCTGTGGACAGGTTCGATGGTGTGCGTGTACGACCTGACACAGCGGCGAAATGTTGCATTTTAAAGTCATTCATTTGGTAGTAAAAATGCGATAAATCACCAAACGTTCAGTAGTGAAAAGACGCATTGATTGATAACATTGTGTTATCATTCGGTAGTAAAAAGTCGAATTTTATAATCACTTTAAAACTGATAATAAACACCACACAATACAAATGAAGATATATTTGAATTGATCTGGTTGAGCACAATATCTTTTGTTCTGGTCAAAAGGTCAACAAAAGTCAAATAAAAGTAATATGAGCCTCTGAAGTTTCGAAAATTGCTGTTTTCAGACTTCTGTAAAACCGGAAGTATATATTGGACATCAAAGATCAAAGTAAGAATGGTCATCCTAGGTCAATGACCTTTGACGATGCAAAGGTAAAGGTTATTTATGTTAAAATTCTAAAATGAAGTTTTTAAAAATTGTTAAACCTATTCCCGTTTTTAAAGTAAAGAGTTAAACAACTGTAATCTTATCCCAAATTGTCTTCAGTAGTGAATTATTTTCAAGTAAAATTTATAGGGTGATAATTGCAACCTTTGCAAGTTATGACAATTGCAAATATTTCAGGTAAAGGTAAATCCACACCGGATGTGGCACGCCCACTTCAAAATTTTTATTTTGTCTGTGATGAGGTGTACTCTCTGGCCAAAAATGTTAATAAGGAGTAATTTAACCCGGATGTGCCACTCCCACCTCAATTATTTGACATAAGTTAATTGATATTCTGAATGTTATGTTGTGTTCCAAATCTAAAGCTTCTACATCATACAGGTCAAAAAGTATAGGTCAACAAAAGTCAACAAAGGTCAAAATCGAAAATTGAAAATATGGACATTTTAAAACCCTGTAAAATTAGTTGATAATCATTATGTAACAGATTTGCCATTTGGTGATAAAACTTTCCATATGCCAGATAAGAAGTTACAAGCAGAAATGTTTGCTTATAAACTTCAAAAAAGGCTAGCTGTTATAAGTATGCTTCATGAGAAATATACTGCCTTTATGACTGATTTAGAAACAAATAATTATGCTGAGAAAGTCCCGATGGCCGAGTTTGGTTTATTGCGCACTATAATGTTAGTCATCCTTGCAAACCAGAAAAAGTTTGTGTTGTTTTTAATTGTCCTCTTTTGATATGATATATGATAATCTTCAAATTCTCAGTTATTGTCTGGTCCTGACTTAACAAATAATTTATTAGGTGTCATATTAAGTTGGCATCAGGAACCTTATGCATTTATGGCAGACATTGAAAGTATGTTCTACCAGGTCTGCGTGACAAAACATGATTGTGATATGATGAGATTTCTATGGTGGCCCAGTGGTAACATGCTTGTCAATGTGCATCTTTTCGGTGCAATAAGTACACCAAGTTGTGCAAATTATGCATTAAAACGTGTAGCTAATGATAATATTGATATTTGTAGTCCAGAATTAATCAATTCTATAAACAGCGATTTCTATGTTGACTATTTAGTAAAATCTGTATCTAAAGAAAGTGAAGCTATAGACTTGGCTACTGATATTCGAAATGTTTTGCAAAAGGGTGGTTTTAATATAACAAAGTGGCTTAGTAATAGTCGAGAATTATTAAAAGCAGTTCCAAAATCAAATCATGCTGGTGAAGTAAAAAATTTAGATTTCGATTCCTTACCTGATAAACGTTCATTAGGTGTCAAATGGTCTATTGAAAGTGATCAAATTGTTTTTGAAGTACAAAATTTGTCGTCAAAACCTACACGAAGAAATATTCTTTCCGTTATGTCATCAGTTTATGACCCTTTTGGTTTTGCGTCTCCATTTATTTTGAGAGCCAAAATTATCTTACAAGAACTTTGTCCCCAAAAACTAGGTTGATATGAACTTATTCCAGTTGAACAAAATACTGAGTGGAAAAAATGGATGCAAGATTTAGATAATTTGCATGAAATTTCTGTCGATCAAGCCTAAAAAATTACAAAAAAATAATCAATCTCCAATTGCATCATTTCGCGGAAGCTTCAAATGATGGTTATGGTATGGTAACCTATGTGCGCCATGAAAACCAATCTGGTGAAGTAAATTGTGCTTTTGTACTTGGAAGGTCGCGTGTAGCAAACTAGAATTGTCTGAGGCTACGTCAATTGTGAAAATAAATAGTATTTAACTGACTTATTCTGGAAACGCTGGACTGAAGAATATTTACATACTATGCAATCTCATGAAAAATGGTTAAATCCATCTAAAAACATTAAAATAGGTGATATAGTGTTAATTGTAGACTCTTCTGCTCCTAGAGGCCCTTGGCCTATTGGAATAGTATTAGAAACCTTTCCAGATAAAAACAGTCTAGTCAGAAGTTAAAACAAAGGGAACGGTCTTAACCCGTCCAATTGCAAAATTAGTCTTAATTTTAGAAAGTGACAATTAGTATTTAATATTGTTGTTGTAAGTGCTATAAGTGTTGTAAAAGTATAAGTCTTAAATATGTAAATTTAAATGTTTCAATATCAAACGGTTATAATTTGAATTTGTTTACAGTTATTTGTCGTGATGTATGTGGTAAAATTTAAACATTATTAAATGTATATTTCCGAATATAATACGTATTCTTGTATAATGTGTCGTCTAATTCTTAGTTAAGAATTCATAAATGTGTGCTTTAGTTATATAATTTTGAACATATTTTGTTTGATAATATCAATAAGGAAAAACCTCGAAGGTAAGCCTTAGTTGTCTTTTATTTATTGGTAACATTATTACATCCTAATATCTCCCACTAAAAGTATTTAGCTGCAGTGTGTTGACCATGACTTGCTGGATGAATTGCTGACTTTTTATACGCCCACATGAATATGTGGTCGTATCACTTGGTGTAATCATTGGAATTCATAAGATCTTGGACAAATGTGTCAAAATTTGCTTGTGAGCACAATAGACGCTACAGTTTTCAACCGATTTTGATGAAACTTGGTGTGATCATTGGAATTGATAAGATCTCGGACAAGTTCTAACTTGAGATATTTTTTATGAACTTATTTTGAGTCATTGCCCTTTACTTTGTAAACACGCGTCAAAAGTTGTTTTTTGCCCTTGATTAGAGCTGTGTGATTTAATTGTTTGTTGTATTTGGGTTATTGATATTGATTTTAAAAAATTTTGTGGAATTACTCAGCATAAATAACTGGCATATATATGTAATTGAATTCAAACTAATAAAATTTCTTCAATATGAGAAAACTGTACTTCAGTCACTAAAGACTGTTTTATAAATTTCTGACAGCTGCCAGTGGGCGTATGTTACCTTGCCTCGCAAGCTATCTTTATGTCATGTTAATGTTGTTTTAATTTCACTATTTTTTTTTTAAATGCCTATTATTTTGTGAAATGTTGAAGATATAGAATTAATCAAAGAGAATTCTGCAATATCTTTTTCATAATGCACTGGTTTAAGGTTATTTCAAATATAGTTTTCACTTACCTTTCTATAGGCACATCATGTGGACCTGTTATACAGATCTTATAAAGGCAGGATAAAAACTTCTTAAAGGCATCAAAAAAGGGATAATGAGACAACAAACAGATACTTTTATTAGAATGAACAGTTTTTAATATACGGTATTGCTCACGAATATGTTTATTTTTTAATCCTAAGTGTCTCATTTGTAGATCACTGAGTCTGTCCTCTGAATATTCCTCATAGAATGTCACTGCTGCACCAAATATCTAAAAAAAAAAAAGAGCAGAAATAGACTAAAAGAGAATTATAACTTAACATAACTAAAGAAAAAGTTAAAAAAAAAAACAATGATTACTCACTCTGCAGACATGAAAAGATAGCTTGCCAGGCAAGGTAATATATGCCCACTGGCAGCTAAAAATTAAAAGCATTTTCAAGAACAATGTTAAAAACTAATATAAGATATCTCATTGAATCATTGATTTTGGTAATAATAAACAATTTCTTCAAATCCAGTTACAATCATCAAGAATTGTGCAAAAATTTGAACATGTAAGAACAAGGGCAAGATTTTTCTGATTTTCAATAGGGTTCATGCTTGCAATCACTCACACCAAGTTTTGTGAAAATCTGTCAAGAATTATGCCTTCTATAGTGTTTACGAGACAAATACTTTCATGTGCTCATACTTAATATTTTTCGAATTTTCAATTGGGTTCATCCTTGGGTGATTACAAACACTCACAACAAGTTTCATTAGAATCTGTCAAGAATTGTGTCTTCTAGAGTGTTTACAACCTAAAATTAAACACTTTTTCAAGAACAAGAACAATAACCCAAACTTTATATTATTCGATTTTCCTGATTTTCAATAGTGTTCATTCTTATCTGATTATATACAAAGTTTCATCAAAATCCGTCAAGAATTGTGCCTTCAAGAATGTTACGAGCAATTGTGGACAACAGACATGGGTGATGCCAATATACGCCCCCCATTTCATATAAGAAAGAAGAAAGAAAGAAAGAATGGGAAAACTATAGATTATTTCAATTTGCTAAACATCTGAAGAGTTCGGGATATAAAGACGAAATTGTAGACACTGCTTTTAGGAAAGCAAGGGAAAGATCACGCCTTGAACTGCTATTTCCCAAACACAAAACGGCCGAAAAGACACAGACAATTTAAGGACAAGCTACAAAATGACAAACATATTAAAAACCAGAAAAATCACAGTGGCAGGACGAAGGAATAGGACCTTGGGAAAAGGAAAGTGAAAATTAAAACAATGTGTAGAGAATGTAAATAGTAACCAGTTACTATTCAATATAAGGCACTGGCACAGAGTTAAAGTTATGTTTACAATAATTGTGATGCTAATATGCAATGAACTAAATCAAAGATGATCATAACGGTTATCATATAAATCTTCTTGGACCTAATAAAGAAATTCATAATACTTATAATCTACATTGACTGCTTCAAATTTTCTGGAATAATGAAGAAAAGCGATTAATGGCAGCAGGTATAGAAAGTAAATTGTTTTAGACTATTATATACTATAAAGTACAAAGACAATGAAAATGAGAATATTTAATTCTGTTAGATCACTCTACATCATCGGTGGGGTCAAGTCGACCACGAACAACTATATCCTGTAGAGTTTTGTCAAATCCAGAAAGAATCATGCCTTTTAGTGTTTAAGAGCTAAATGTGAATGCGTTTTCAATAGCAAGGGCAATAACTCATACTAAATATTTTTCGATTTTTCTGATTTTCAATAGGGTTTAACTTTGGGTGATAACAAACACTCATGCCCAGTTTCTTTAAAATCTGTCAAGAATTGTCTCTTCTAGAGCGTTTACAAACTAAAATTTTAACGTGTTTTCAATAACAAGGGCAATAACTCATACTAAATATTTTTCGATTCTTCTGATTTTCAATAGGGTTCATCCTTGGGTGATTACGAACACTCATACCAAGTTTTGTCAAAATCCGTCAAGAATTGTGTCTTGTAGAGTGTTTACGAGCAATTGTGGACGGACGGACATGGGTGAAGGCAATATATACGCCCCCCATTTCATGGGGGCGTATAAAAAATCAAAAGAACCTGTAAAGAATTGTCGCCTGTGGATTGAGCACGATATAGCACAATATAGCTAATAAAGTGAAACGTCAAGTCAGGCACGATATTTCGGTGAAATATTATCCGATCATCATGAAAATTGATAGGGATTAACTTCATAATGACATTGACAAAAAAAATCAAAATCAAAAGAATCTGTAAAGAATTGTAGCCTGTAGAGTGAGCAAGAGTTGCACAATATAGCTAATAGAGTGAAACGTCAAGTCAGACACGTATTTCTTCAATGAAAGATAGCTTGCCAGACAAGATAACATACGCCCACTAACAGCTGTCAGAAATGATATGGTCTTTAGTGGTTTAATAATAAATTTTCAAATAATCAAAAGTCAAAGCAAAATCTCAAAAACAAATCAAATTATCAAACTCAAAAATGAAGATAGCTTGCCAGGCAAGGTAATATAAGCCCACTGGCAGCTTTGATTTTAAATAAAAATATTTGGAAGTACAGTAACAATTATAAGTATGAAATATTCAACCTTCAGTCATACACATGTGTACACACTGTATATTATTATTAAGTGTTGTGTTTAAGACTAAAAATTGAAATCATTTTCAAGAACAAGGGCAATAACTATTATTATTTTTCGATTTTTAATAGGTTTCATCCTTGGGTCATAGCAAACCGTTTAGAGAGCATTTCAAGAATAAGGACAATAACTTATACTAAATAGTTTTTGATTTATCTGATTTTCAATAGGGTTCATAGGGTGATTACAAACAATCATACTAAGTTTTGTCAAATTCAGTCCAGAGTGTTTACGAGCAATTGTGGACGGACGGACATGGATGATGACAATATACGCCATGTGGCTTTAAAGAATAAAACTTCTGCCCAAATAAACCATTTATTCCTCAAAACCAACACAATCAAAAAGTAAATGACTGTTACAATAATGACGTCATAAAAATTATGATGTCTTTGTTACTCAAACAATTACCTGCAAAGTGATCATTTACTGATGAACTACAAATTTCCTTAGTGATCACTGATGACGTTATAATGTTGTAATGACGTCATTTCATGTGACAACTTGGGATTTAGCGTATGAATACACCAAAAACTTTCAACTTCAAATAGACAAGATGATGGAACAAATCTTGGTTTCTGAGTTTGTGTTGAATATCTAATTTATTTGTTTCTCTTTAGCAACTTTCAGAAATGTATTTTCATTCATTTGTAAAAAACGACTCAATTTTATTTGTGTTGTTGTGTATTCATACATCAGTCAGCCTAGCAGCGAATGGGCAGGGCTTTAACTTAATTGACAGGAGTTGTGTTGCTGTTTTTGCCAACTTTTCTCACAATAATGATAGGTTTAACTATATTATGTCAATAATTTTATCCTTAAAAGTATGGTGATAGATTCCTGAAAACTACCGAATGTTAATATAAAGATTTATGTAGACATTTTTGTGTTCATTGGTTGATGAACGCCGAATTTTCACATGTTAAATCTTACATAAATGGCTTTGCCATTCATTCGAATTAACATGTGAAAATTCTGTGTAAAGTTTATTAATCAAAATGGATTCAGCCAGATATAATTTTTTTTAATCTGCATTATAAATTTTCTGCAGAATAGTGGTTTTGAAGGAATGTCCAGATGTATTAAAATGAGGTGCTACTCAAGGGGCTTTACCTACTTTGTTAAGTTAAATGTTTGACCTGTACATCATAGATATTTACAACTGAGATCACAATTAATCATCTTCATGATTGGTTTTGTTCCATTCCCCCTTTTATTTGGAATTTTCCCATTTCATGTGGGCGTATAAAAAGAAGTAACTCTCAAACCATTCATCTGATTGTTAACAATTTCAAAATAAATCTTATCAATGTATAAATACATGAAATATGCATATCAAGTTTCATCAAAATTGGATAAAAACTGCATTCTCTACAAGCTAAATTTAATGCTTTTACTTTATTTTCCATTTGGGTGTATAAAAAGGTCATTGTTTTTAATGAAATTTATAGTTTCCATGATTTCACATGTGTTGGTGTATGCTTTAAGACACACGATTTGGAAAAGTACATAGTGTATTTTGACAGAAGTTTTATTATTTAAAGCCTCATATCTTCATCTTGTCAAAGCATCATAGTTTTAAAGATAGCAGCTTTGATTTTGAATAAAAATATTTGGCAGTACAGTAACAATTACCAGTATGAAATATTCTACCTTCAGACATACTTATTTTGAACTTTTTGAGGCGATACTGAATAATATTACCAAGTTTCATCAAAATCTGTCAAGAATTGGGCCTTCTTGAGTGTTGGCTAAAACGAGGGCAATAATATTTTTAGATTTTTCTGAGTTTCGTTTCGTTCATCATTGGGTGATGACATACACTCACACCAAGTTTCGTAAAAATCCTTCAAGAATTGTGCCTTCTCGTGTGTTTACGCATTTTCAAGAATAAGGGCAATAACTCATACTAATTATTTTTCGATTTTTTCTGATTTTCAATAGGGTTCATCCTTAAGTGAAAAAAAAAACACTCACACTAAGTTTCGTCAAAATCTGTCATTAATTGAACCTTCTAAAGCGTTTAGGAGCTAAATAACTCATACTGAATATTTTCAATTTTTCTGATTTTCAATAGGGCTCATCCTTGGGTGATTACAAACAAACATACCAAGTTTCGTCGAAATCAGTCTAGAATTGTGCCATGTAGGGTGTTTACTTGCAATTGCGGACGGATGGACATGGGTGACAGCATTGACAACAAAAACTAATATTTTGTTCTCTATAAACTTGGTGCACAAATTTCTGACACTCAATACCAAGCAAGTAAAACATTTAGTAAACATACCCTGTCACCTTCTGCATCAGTTAACACAAAAGTTGAAAAAACAGGTAATGGATGTTGTGCTTTAGCTGACCAGCATTCTACAGTAGCTCCCATTGGTAAACAAAACATTGGTACTGATTTTGGTAGAGAAAAACCATCATATTCAACTGCTGGATATCTGTCTAAGATTGCTGTCAATAAAAGAAATTATTTCAGGAAAAAGAATGAGATTACATCTTGAAGTATTATAGACAATAGTGGTAAACATTCTAAAAGAAAATCTGTAGATACATGCTTACGGCCAAAACAGAAGCGCTGTTTTAATTTGAGCAATATCCACAATTGCTCATAAACACTAGAAAGCAAAATTCTTAACAAAAAATTCTGTCAAGAATTATGCCTTCTAGAGTGTTTACGAGCTAAAAATTAAATGGGTTTTCAAGAACAAAGGCAATAACTCATACTCAATATTTTTCAATTTTTCTGATTGTCAATAGAGTTTATCCTTGAGTGATAACAAACACTCACACCAAGTTTCGTCAAAATCTGTCGAGAATTGTGCCTTCTATAGTGTAATTGAACACATTTTCAAGAACAAGGGCAATAACTCATACTAATTGTTTTTCGATTTTTCTGATTTTCTTAAGGGTTCATCCTTGGGTGATTACGAACACTCACACCAGGGCAACAACTCATACTTATTTTTGTTCGATTTTTTATACGCCAAGAATTTAAAAATATCTAAAATGACAAATGACTTTAACCCTTCATTACGTTTTTCCACTTATTGCTCTAATTGTGCTGCATGTAAGATTTTAAAATCTTAGACTCGGCCATTAATTATTGAATTACTCGGCCATTAATTATTGGATTGGTCTAAAATTTACATAGTATTCACAGACTGCAAATACAAATGAAACTGCATCATTAAAAATTTTCAATCACTTCCGGTTTTGGCGTGGGAATTTAAGGTTTATAAAAATCTTTGGAACGACCCTGCTTTCGATGTAATTCACAAATGTCGACAAAAACCATACAGATTATCTATAATAATTAATCTGAATCATGTAAGAAGAAAAAATTCAAACTAGAAGTGGCATACGCTCTATTATCTGAGAGTGGCACATTTTCGTAAAATTTAAAGTTCGCCATTTATTATCTGAATTTTGTGATCTTGACCTGGATCAAATTTAATAGATTTGTCAAGGAACAAATATTCAGCGATCATTTTGATTCTGTCAGACAAGACCTCAATAGTGACTTAATTTTGTTTTCTCATTGTAGTTAATCTCATCAAATTTGATTTATAAATATTGATTATTAACATTGATTGATAAATGAAGTTCTAATGTATGCAGAAGAAATGTATATGGTATTGTAGGTAACCTAAAACTTCATATGGTTATGATGTTTCAACTTTGGTAGTGGTTATTTTCCATATCATTTCACCTGATGAGGATGAAAGCTTCTGGAATAAAATACTTTTGTCACTCTTAAAAGGTGTGTTTGTCTTAAAGTCAGTCTGTGGAGCATCCATTGAGTTTGATGATTTTCTGTTCAATCTTTGTATTCTATAAATATTATGACAGTGATATTTGAAAGTGACATTGTTGAATTCAAATGTGTAGGTGTGGTTTCCCTTATAGGAGAAATTTACGAGTAGGGTATGGACAGGTACTGATGTCATTGTTCATGACAAGTTACACAAGGTCATTTCGGACGTTCTGAATGATGTAATTAATTATGAAGAAGATGAAATTATTCATGAGAATAGAAAAACTGATGATGATGTTTTGTCAAATACATTTGGAAACTTTGTGTAGAAACAATAGCAAAATGGAAAAACGTGTGAAAACAGTCAAATTGTCCAGTGTCCCTGATACACATAAAAGATGTAGAAAACCTCTTTACAATCCCTTTAAGTCTAATTTATCAATTAATTGAGAAAATCTACAGCTCAGCCAAAGACTTTTTTAAGATATAATTTGTTTACATTCCAGATGGCATTTTATGATCTATCAAGGGATACTCTCATTTGTAAGTTTATTCAAAAGTAAGCACAGATAACAGATCTGCTTCTGTACTGAGTGCTTTTAATGACTTACATCAAATTATGACTGACCTGAAAGAGTTCCATCAGATAAGGGGAAAGAGAATGTAATTAATGGTTGCTGGATTACCATTCATTGCAGAGAAGTGTCCATAATCAATTGTATTTTTAAGTTTAAGTTTTTATGTTAATGATTGAGCTTAGATGAATATTTTTCATATTGTCTGTTACAGATTGTTTGGTGATTAATCTGTTCGAGATTTAAGGACGGTCGCTCATGTATTATTGCATATAAAAAACGTATATTCTGTGCACTGCTTTCATAGATTAACTCATAGACTGTACTGGCCTTATAACTTTTTTCAATTTTAATCTTTATATTTCAGAATAGATTGTGGCAGAAAGTTTGGTCTGGGAGTTCTGTATATCTTTTTTGTAATGTTTTTTTTTATCAAATGGAAGAACATCAGCTGTTCCTCATCTATTTTTAAAGATTGGATACAGAAGCACATGGAAATATTTAGAGAACCCCTTAGTCGAAGACTCTTGAAAACAGACAGGATTAAAGGTCTTTTATAAATTGAGGTAAGGTTTTAGGAGCAGGTGTCAATTAATAGTAAGGTGAAAAGAATTAGTAAAATCTGGAAAAACCTGCAGTGAAAAATGTTTTATTCTCCATTTCCTGGCTCACTCTCTTGAGAAGACCTGATGTCAATTCTTTGACTAAGATGGTCACTTCACATCTGTCTATGAGTCCTAAAATGTTTACTCAATGAATTCAATCTTGATAAACATGACTTATTGTTAAAAGGGAAAAAATAGTTCTTTCATCAAACGATAAGTCTATAGATTTACGTCAATATTGTGTAAAATGACGTCATTATCTACAGTTATGTAAATTCAGAATTTATTTGCATCTGATGTACTTACTTGAAATTTCTTGTCTAACTTTTTGGGTATTCATAATGCAAAAGTTTTGTATCACAACAACAATTGTGAAGTCAGAATAGTTAAATGGAATAAGAAATGGAAAAAAAAATTGTATAAATAAACTAGAAGATAGTGGACCACGGCATGCGGATGGTAAAAACGAAACATCCATTTTAAGTATCATCAAAATCAGTTGAAAACTAAGAGAGTAATTAGCAGATTTCAAGATTTTGGGGCAAGGGCAATAACTCAACTTAATCTTCTTTTTATGAATATGTATACCATTCCATCAAAAAATCTAGTTTTTAGAGCGTTTACAAGCAAATGTTGACGGACGGACAGATGGACAGGGGTGCCGACAATATACGTCCACATAAAGAGATGTGGGCGTATAAAAATTGAAGGGGGGATATTACAAAACGGGAGGATATTTAAAATATAATACATTTTATACACAACTCTACACCTCACAGCATGTTAAAGCACACAACATTCACACTTATCTTTCTAACTGTCCACTGACACCCCTCACCGACACTGATCTATCCCTCATAAGAGACCCTTTTTTCTCCATGACGAAATTTTAGCGGCTCTAAAAGACCTTTAGAATGCTAAAACTCGGGGGGGTGACTGTTAAGGCTTTTTATGAAGCAAATTGGGATATTTTAGGGGATGACATCTGTGAACTTATCAACAATATTCATTTTCAGAGGAATTAACTAAAACCATGAGGGAGGGCGTAATTACTTTGGCTTATAAGGGACAAACAAGACTACAAAAAAATCGACCTATTTCTCTACTCTGTTCTGACTATAAGATTATTTCTAAAATTCTAGCTAGGAGACTTAAGAGGACAAGACTATCATCAACAATCTTCTACCTGACTATATTCTTCTTCATATCAATCAGAAAAAACATTCCTTCTAATCTATCCACTTTTGAACAAGAGAAAGCGTTGGACAGAATCGAAATTAACTACATTATTGTTTTATTAGAGTATCTTCTATTATGACTTCGTAACAGTCATTTGGCTTGATACTCCAGGAATTTGATATAATTAGTAAGATATCAGGGTCTAAATTAAATGTATCAAAAAAACTAAAATATTGTGTATGAACAATTCCACCCGTTCAAAATCATCATTTGATCCGTGATGTCATTAAATTATTAGGTATTTGGTTTGGTAAGGGTCAGACTCGGAAAAACTGGGACATTATAGCGACTAAAACTTTAAGTATGACTTTAAGATGGACTGATAGAGGGTTAAGCTTTAGGGAAAAATTAATTGTCATTAACACATATATTATCAGTCTGTCCGTGTATGTCTCGAGAATCGTTCCACCATCCAAGTCCGCATAGAAACAAATAAATTCAGCCATTTTCAAATTTCTATGGAACAATCATTTCTAACTCATCAAACGTGATAATCCTGAACAAGGTGGGCTTGGGATCCCTAATTTAGACCTCAAAGTTATGGCAATGCAATTTCAGCAAATATCCCAAATCATAATTTGTAATCAAAATCTTTGGGTGTCACACTTTAATTATTGGCTAGGAATTCCTCTTTAAAAATACTATTGGCTTTAACTTATCTGATTCTCATACACTATATTATCCATCAAAATTCAACAAACTTCTCAAAATTCAAAAAGAACAAAACTTTAACCTTGGAAAGTTGAAAAATGTAAACAAATCTATCAAGCACTGCTTTCTACCCGCACTGTTAAGCCAAAAACTGTCACTATGCACCTCTGTATAAATTTCAAACAATCTTATCAATGGTACAGACTAGTAATGTAAAAGACTTCTTCTTTCTCTCACTGCATGATGCACATCATACGAAAAAAGTTTTATCAGCAAGTTTAGGACATCTTTTCACAACATGTAATTATTGTAAATGTGGAACGGAAACCATCGAACATATATTTTTAAATTGTACAGCCATCAAACCATTCCGACAATTTGTAAATACTTTTGTAAATAATTTTCTCTGCTCTTCTGACCTTTATATCTCTGAAAAAACTCTATTTCTTAACACTGACCCCAAATTCTTTCCCTTCATCTATACCTTCACTTTTACTCTCTGGCACAATCGCAATCTTAATACTGAACATTTAAACGATGCATTAATTTACCGATTTTATGAAAATTTCAAAAGTCTTTAACTTTTCTTCTTTCAGCACCACTTTTAATAAGACTTTCTATTTTAGGCATGTTTTTTTTCTTATCTACAAATAGTAGATAATTATTGATTACTTTTTTTTTTTACCTAGTTCCCTTTTGATTTGTGCTTTATCATGTCTACAGATTGTTTTCTGTTTCATTTATTTTGCTTCTATTTTTTTTGTGTCTATATGTATGTTATTATCTACAAATAATAGATTTATGTTTTATCTTGTATTATATACCCATTTCTGTTCGTTACTTTGAATTTTCCCTTTTTCATTTTTCAACTAAATTGTATTACGTAAACTTGTTTCTATTCTTAAATCTCATAATATTTGGCAAAAACTTTCAAACAATTTAATAATAATAAATCTAAAAACAATATTTCAAAAATCAAAATTTAACCCTAAACAATTCAAAATTGTACTTATACTGTAAAATCCCACATATAATGTGCACTTTTCAAGCTTTTCTTTTCATTCCTTTTCTTATTAGTTTCACTCATTCTACAGATAGTAGATGAGTTTCTCTTTTGTTTTGTTAAATTTGTCCGCCTTTTTGTATTATATTATAGTTGTAGATATGTTTATGTTGTAATAAAAATTAATATGAAGTACACTATGATTAAATCAGTAATAAAAACTTCTTATTAGTGTCATGTATACAGTGTTAGGCCTTTATTCACTGCACCACTCTGACAAACAGTACTAACACTACCTGTCTAGCAGCTTTTGAATAAGATTTTGAATAAAAATATTTGGCAGTGTTGGTAGCAATCACCAGTATGAAATATTATACCTTCAGTCATACACTTCTTTTGAACTTTTTAGGGAGATACTGAATAATGTTACTAAAATCTGTCCAGGATTGTGCCATCTAGAATGTTTACAAGCTAAATATTGAACACATTTTCTAGAACAAGGGCAATAACTCATACTAAATATTTTTCGACTCTTCTGATTTTCGATAGGCTTTACCCATTGATGATAACGATCACTCGCACCAAGTTTGGTCAATATCTGTCAAGAAAGGTGCTAGTATATGGACTGAACGTTTTTATTTTCACTTCTAATAGACCCCCTCTCATGAAATAATGAAATTTTGTTTCTGGCTTTATTATCACACGAAAGATACATTTCAACAACTTTAGTATTAGTATTCATATTAATGTCATAATTTGTTTTGTAATTTTGCATCAGAAAACCACTTTCAAGTATGTAAATTATCTCCCTTGTATAATACAAAATATTTTATTTTTATTATTCTAGGTCTCAAAAGTTAAAGAAGCGGCTTCAGTTAAAGTATCCACAATTGGTCTTTCATTTACCTGCTAAACGCTTCAAAAGTGAGCTAGTATTCGTGGAAGATGTTCAACATGTTGAAAAGATACAGTCTTCAAGTGAAACCAACGATTCAACTGGTACTGACACGGAAACCACAGACTCAAGTGAAACGCCCATTCATAAACAGTTTGATGACAATACGCTACATTCACTGTACACTGCAGCCTTAAAGTTAAAAGCGGAATTGCATTTATGTAAAGGGTATGAAGGTAGTTGACCTCCTTTGCCTTGTGATTTTAATTTGGTAGCCTGCAAATTAATGATACCTGTTTCCTCGTACAATACTCTAGCTTGAATTATCGGTGCATCAGAAGACCCCACATTAGAGGATTATGTAAAGGTTGATGAAGTTACCCATATTAAACTGCTGTCTATTCTTCAGGATATTATTGTGCTTCAGTCGAAAGGTCGCAAGCATACACTGAAATCCTTGTCACTCGGTTTAACGTTGCGTCACATAACTGGTTCAAAAAAAGTTATCGACCTTCTGAATGGATTTGGACACAGTTCGTCACATAAGACTATTGTGCGGTATGACACATCTTTAGCCCAAATGCAATTGAATAAAGGGCCAGTTTTTGTTCCTGACTCTTTTTCTGAGAAATTGAATACCGTGCTGGTTTGGGACAATTTGATTTTAGTGAGGAAACTACTTCAGGTCATGGAACCACTCACACCACAAATGGAATAGCTATCCAGTGTAGCTCTGACATGGTTACAGAAGCTTTGGAGAGGCAGACTCTTCCACGAATTCCACGACCAAAAAGGAGAGAAGGTCCACCGCTTTTTGATATTAGAAAAGAGATTCTTGAGAAATTTTTTTATATTTCATATCATTACATACAACATTAAAGGATCTGACATTTGTGATAATGAGGTACAATGGGGATACAGACTCTAACCTTCCTGGCTGGACTGGTTTCAACACTAAGTGCTTTCCAACAGAATCCTTGGTTAAAACAAACATTGCCTAACTTCCTATGATTGAAGCTTCCCCAACGGAAATGAACACTGTCAACACTATATTATGTCGAAGTTTGGAAATGGCTGATAAATTACAGTTAAAGACCATTACAGTAGTTTTTGATCTAACTATCTACGCTAAAGCTCAAGAAATCCAATGGACAAATGACATTTTTCGAAATCGTCTGGTGATAAGATTGGGAGAATTCCACACATGTATGTCATTTCTTTCAATTATTGGGAAACGGTTTCAGGATGCTGGATTGAATGATATATTGGTTGAGGCTGAGATAATAGCTAGTGGATCCGTTAATGCTGTTATGGAAGGAAAACATTACAACCGCTGCATGTATGCACATAAACTCATGTTTGAAGCTCTACACCGTTTGAAGTTCAGTTTTTTTGTTGAGTCTTTCTTTATCTACCGAGAACAGAGAAAAGATGTCACGGTTCCTTGATTATATGTCTACTACCTTTCCATCAGAAACCTACTTGAAGTTGTTAAATTCAGACAAATTTTTGGAAATCAACTTATATGAAAGTTTTGATAAGGCACAGACATCCACCAATAAAACCTATGCTCTGTGGTCAAGCTATCTTCAAATGGTTGAAATTCTTTTGAGCTTCATTCGAACAACCAGAGAATCTGATTGGAAGTTGCATGTGGCATCTATTCGGTCAATGCTACCATGGTATTTTGCGTATGATAAAACACATTATTCCTGCTACTTACCTGTGTATTGGATGGAGATGATAGCACTTGAGACTACCCATCCAGAAGCTTTTGAAATGCTCACCGAATCCAGACAATGGACAGTACAACGACAGACTAGATATGGATTTTCAGCTGTAGCATGTGATCAGACAATTGAACAAACAGTTAATAGCGAGTCGAAAACTTCAAGGGGAATAACTGGTATTACATTGAACAAAAATGCAGTAAGAAGATAGATGGATATTGTCCCAAACTCAAAGAACAGCTATACATCACCAGTGTGAAATCTTGGCAGGGCTAAAAGGGACAAATCGAGACAGAGTCGACCTTGATGCATCAAAGAATAAGCGTGACAGAGATTCTATACAAAGAATTGTTGAGTGTATAGAACAGATGATAAACCCATTCAGCTATGATCAACCAGAAATGACCAGCATAAGCTCAGGTGTTGTTGCTAGTGATGAAATCAGTGCTGATCTTATGAGTGCAGAAGAAGTTGACGAAGTTGCCTTAAATAATTATATTGAAGAGCGTCTTACTTCTGATAAGAAGAAATATCATGATCCAATAAAGCAAGTAAAATCGAAGACGTTTTCAAGTCAATTGAAGATGAAGGCTAAGACACAGTCTGGTAAAGAAGTGATATTACAGAGTGATAGAAAATTATTTTCAAGACTACTAATTATTGGACAACAGCGTAGTATAGATCTCAAGGAAGTTTTGCGATACTCACTTGGTCCAGTTTCTTACCCTCTTGCGAGTGCGAATGGGTCAATAGCTAAAACAAATAAAGCTGCTCTCCTTCATCTTATTGAAAATAGTTGTAAAAACTGTACTGAAGATGGAATGCCCAAATGATTTATAATGGAATGGCTTTGATCCAGTCCCTTCCAAAACAGTTACCATCTACATTTGGAGATATTGCTGATTTCATTCTAACCAATATTCTTCAACAGGCTTATCAGCATAACCTTCATAGATACGTATCCTATCATTAGCATTAAAAATGCAGAAAGAACTAGGAGAGCTGCTAAAGGTACCCAAAAGAGACAGATATATGGTAAAGACCAGAAAATCCCCCAGCAATGGTGAAGCTTCTTAGCTGTTGGTAAAAATAAAGAAGCCTTGGTTGAATTTTTATTTTCTATTTGGACTACAGTTGATCCTGTCATCCTGGGTGATTTGTATCTTTATGTTGCCCATGGTGCAGAATGTCATAAAATCTTCGTCAATAATGGTGCCACAGAGACATCTAAAGTAAACCAATTATGTTGCGACCATGAAGAGGCTGATACGAGAATGCTTTTACATGCTAAGCATGCATCTGAAGAAAATTATGGAAAAATAATTGTGAAGAGTCCAGACACAGATGTGGCTATAATTTTGCTTGCCCATGTCGAGGAAATTCTGTCTAATCTCTATTTTTATACTGGCATAAAGACAAGGTCTAGAATTCTTGACATCAACAATATGTTCAACACAATTGGGCGACAGGTAGCATTATCATTAATAGGCCTTCATACTTTCACGGGATGTGATTCGAGAGTTTTCATGGCAAAGGAAAGAAGAAAGCATTCAACTTGCTGCAACAAGTCCTACCAATCTGTTTTTAATAAAATTAGGAGAGAATATTACTGTTGATAAAGATACCCATGGGGTATTAGAAAAATTTGTATGTGAACTGTATGGACAGAAGTGTACATCTGTTAATGAAGCTCGCTACAGACTGTTTTGTCTAAAGACATCAAGCGAGCAAAGCTTACCCCCAACTTCTGATGCGTTAGCTCTACACATAAGCAGGTCAAATTACCAAGCTGCCATTCATAAACGCTCACTGCAGCAATATATATCGAGCCCATCACCAAAGGACCATGGCTGGAGCATAGCAAATGACAAAATTTCGATCGTTTGGATGACATTAGATCCAGCACCAGACACTATATTGAAATATGTTCATTGCAATTGCTCTGGTAAATGTGATACGAAAAGATGATCGTGTAAATTATCAGATGTTTCCTGTACAGACTTATGTGGATGCACAGGATGTGATAATACCGTCAGTACCCCTACAGAAATATTTAATAGTGACGAGGGGTCTGATATAGAAGGGAGTGATATTGAGGATTCAGTCTAGCATATGACTTATAAATATTGTGTAAAATATTGTTAAAATGTTGTGTTTTGTATGTTAATTGATATGTTTCATTTTTCAAATTATAATGTTAATTGCATGATATATTTTCTTTTTCCGGTTTATTATTAAAATATGTTGTTTTCTTTGATACCACTTTATTTTGTTTGTTTTCTTGTAATAATATGATGTGTAATAATATGATGTGTATATTCTGTTATGTCTTTCATTTGAGAATTTGACATTTGTTTCTTCATTTACTTCCATTTCATTATTTAAATGTATCATAACATTGTTTGTTTTTTATTTCACACCACTGGATGTTATTAAACAATATATTTTTACAATGCTTTTTTAGCAATATTTTTCATGGATAAACCTTGATATGAGCATTTAAAGAGGAAGAGCTAGGGGGTATGGGAGACTATATTAATGTAGAGTTGTTTAAGCAAAAGGTCATGACATGAGAAAAGAAGTGTGCCAAGAGATTGTTGCTCAACAGCATGTCTGAAATAGTAAATGGGTTCTGAAGTTTATTTCTGCTTGTGCTAAATGAATGCAAGTTTGTGATAGTTACCGCAGACTGATATATCATCCTTTCTGTCTGCGAATAAAAACATGGCGAAGCCATCCCATAATAAGCACCATGGCATAAACACTGACGACCGTGCCCAAATTCATTCAATGATTCAGTGATTTTGTCGTATTTCGCAATCTGTTATGGTGATTAATCATTTGTAAACGTAAAACGTGATCCATTCACATCTGTTCACGTACGATTTTAATTGAGATCACACAATGTGAAAAATTCAGAGAGATCCGCAAACAATAATATTGATCGCTTGCCTTGTTGACATTAATAACTCATCTAGTGTTAGTCACATGACAATTTAGCGACAATTCATTGGCTTGCATATGTAGGTCTTGTCCTTACAAGGAAATATTGAATCCCTACGTTTCGTTGAAGAGTCTGTTTTGGATCCCTTCGCCAAGTAAAGAGTCCGTTTTTCTTAATTTTTTTTCGTTCAATCGCACAGCTTTAGAAAAGTGGTAAGTAAGTTATCCTAAAATTTCATCATTTCATGTAGGGGGGTAAACAACTTTTGTGAAAGAAAAGCAATTAGACTGTTAAGTCCATGCACTATGCCTTCTAGAGTGAACATGTTTTCAAGATCAAGGGCAACTCATGCTAAATATATTTTGTGATTTCCGATAGGGTTCATCTTTGGCTTATAACAAGCACTCACACCACGCTTCTTCAATATCCATCAAGAATAGTACCTTCAAGAGTGTTTACAAGTTAAAAACTGAACGCGTTTTCAAGAACAAGGGCAAAAACGCCTACAAAATATTTTTCGATTCTTCTGATGATACTTGAATTCTAGTGGTTGACCTTTATGCCAGGTCATGACAAATTATCGGCACTTTAGCCGGCAAAGCGCATCAGGACGTCATTGATAAAAACATGTATCTCCCAATTTAGTGGTAGAACTGTCATGGACCAACATACACTAGCCGATTTTTCATCAAACAATCGGTAAGTGTGACAGTATCTGTCAACACATATTTATGCGGGCATTTAGAAAGCTGAAAAGACTTACCAGGCTTATACGCTAAAACATCAGCCTTCGTCATGGCTTTCTTATAACATAGGTATACGTCAGACCCCATCTGAAATGAAAATTGCTAATAAATATCAAATAAACACATTCAAAAAGTGCATGTAGTATAATCTTATTAAGCCTACATCTCTGCATGTGTATGTGTATCAGGTGTCTCTAAAAAAAAGTGGTCAAGTGGTTGTCTTGCAAGATACGCCCACTATGAACATATATTTTCAATATATCAAAGGCTCTCACTCAGGAAATATTTGTCCAAAGTTATCAAAGATCTTGTGAAAAAATATATTATATATATACAGTGTACTCTGTGATATCTGACTTCTGAGTATTCCAACAATCTGCGTAATCAGACATCATTTTCTGGTCCCGATTGACTTCTTAGGCTAGTATAAAAAACGCTGAGTATTCCAAATTACTGTTTTCCGAATTACAACACTAATCAGTGGTCCCGACATTCAGAAAAATCTGCATTATCCGAAATCTACTCATCTAAATTACTTATCGCCAATTAGATAATCACTTATTTTATTGATAATCCAGATCAATTCAAATCACACAAGATCAAACAAACAAAAGATTGCTGAACTACATTGTACTGATTTATCACCGTCAATAGCCTCGCTTCAAGTTCAAGGTCATTGCCTTCAGATAAAATGGCATGAGTACTCTTATCATTCCTTTTGTATAGAACAGAAATATGCAACTTGACCATTTTTTGTTTCACGTTTTATCAAAATTCCCAAGCTAGCAATTTTCGTCTTGCAAAGAGTGCCCGTACTGATGTGTCTCTGGATATGAAACAGTACTCTTCGCAGAAATATTTAACTATGAAATTAGCAGCATTTTTAAACATAAAGAAGAAATTTTTTAAAAGTTTGCCGACAATATTAATTCCAATAAAAAGCGTATGTGCAGTATCTCAAAATATGAACAATTAAATAACAGTAACATATACAACTGAATTGTTTATTATTATTGTCTTATTATTAGATAGGTACTGTCTGTAGAATGTGGGTCAATGAGCTATAAATAGTAAAACGTACCACATTTAAATAAATGTCGAAACACTGAGTACCCCGACACTCTCGCTAATCCGACATTGTTTTACAGTCTCAGTATATGTCAGAATATGCAGAGTATACTGTATGTATAATTTGATGAAAACTATTTTTACTTTTTTTCTATAAAAATCTGTATCTTGTTGATTTAAAAAAGCAGTAGGCTAACCATAATGGTTACTTTGTTGAGTTATACTTGTAATTCATCAAAGGAAATTATGTATCTTACTGATTTTTTTTAAAGATAGCTTACCAGTGGGTAATTTTGATTTTAATTAAAAATATTTGGCAGTACAGTAACCATCACCAGTATGAAATATTAAACCTTTTGTCGTACACTTCTTTTAGACTTTATTTTTTGGATTTATTTAATCTATGGTCAATGCAAATAATAAGTGTATAAACCTGTGTTTTTGTCTTCAGTTTCAGAGTGTAATAGGCCTTTCTTAATGATTTGACGTCAATATTCATAGAAGTATCAAAATGAGGCTAAGTGGGCAAGGAGGTCAAAATGGCGTCTGTTTAGCATGCCACTCTCATTTTTTACCATAAACGACCTTTTATTTCCTTGAAGACAATTTAAAATGGTGTCATAGATCGCTGACAAGAGGATACTAATATTTTGAAAATTTTTGCGAGAAATATAGGCCTATCTAAAGATATCGAAGCCGGGGAAACTTCAGTATTTGTCCAAAAGCTGTCCAACATATTCCAGAAGAATAGAAGATTTACTCGTGTCGGAAATAACAAAAAGAATTGGGTATCTCTTACGAGAAAGCGGTCATTGGTCTATTGAGAGAGCACTATCTAGATCAAGTTACGATCCTTGAACAACGCCTATCAGCTACACTGTTTTGGAATGTTACCAACCCGACAGTCAACACCCAGCTGATCCAGAGTACCAACAAGCACGAGAACCCAGTAGGAGCAAGAGCTAAAGCTCTTGATCTTATTGCTTTCGTGTACGCCGACCATTTGAAGATGTACACCGATGATTCAAAAAGTAGTACAGGTGCTATTGGTAAGAACATTACTGCGGTTGTGATATATAGTGACTGGTGTACTTATCAAAATCGCAACGTCACTGTTTCCCTGTTGCGCATAGCCTTCAACAAGAATGTAACCATAAATATGGGGAACCCACTCCTAATGATGTGGCACCCAGGCTACACAGCGTACCTATTAAGAAAAAGAAGTTTGAACATCTTCAGGCATTAAAATCTGTTATCCCTTAAGATTACCATAGCTTCTACGACGCCACATGAAAATTAATCATGTTTGATACTAAATGCATTGGAGTTCCTCTTAAGGGGGCTTGGTGTTAAATCCATATTGTTTCATTTGTTGTCCGCAGTGTTTCGCTTGGACTTTTTTAAACAATAAAGTTCTCAATTCTTTATTTCATTAAAATAATCTTCATGATCTTTAAACCTGATCTCAAATATTTTTTCCCAGAATATCTCCTAAGCATTGATATAGACAGTTCCTATGATGGTTGGTGAGAATCAATTCCTTATGTCAATGTGCAAAATTGTCCAGAATCTGATAATGGTTTGATTTGTGGTAGTGATCTGACCCATGCCCCATGATAACTCCAAATATATAAATCTATCGGGAATGTGTAACACCATTTCATTTCACTGAGAGTCAGTGTATCTCGGATTTTGCTTTTTCATAATTTGCCAAAATGTCGTATATGTTTTGACGTGAGTGATAAGCAACTTTCTCGATTCTATTGCTAAAAAATATGTAAGAAAACATCAATTTGACTATATCGAGTAATTATGATCGAAAGCTTAGTTTTTTGTCTCTCTTGTAAAGTTACGAATTTAGAGATACGAGGTTTCGGAAGCACAGTGACGATATGTAGATATGCTATACTGGAGAGAGAAATAGTCATTCCCCTGAACTTTTGTTCCATTTCATTCACAAATTGAAAGTAAAATAAATGCGAAATAAATATTTGACACGTCTAATAATTTCTCCTGGGTAATGGCATTCAAGATATATTCACATTGTTTGTGTCCGTTTCGTTACGAACGTTTGAACAAACATAAAATTTGTTGAAAATATACAAACTATCCGTATCGTCTGTATTATTTATTACCTACCAGGAATTCCTATATGACATAATAACTATATGCGCTCAAGATCAAATGACGTGGTTCTGACCCAAGAATCCAGCGTGTCCACAGGATTGTCGTGCATCTGAACATTGAAAAGAATAGGGAAAGACTACAAAATAACATATCTTCTGCGATTTTCCACTCTGATGGAATTCTGTTAAGTTGAAATATCCCTTAAAATTTATATGTGATTAATATGTGATGTATGATATCGATTGTATGGATGTTGATGAATTTTTAAAAATTCGTACCTGCCCTTTCATGATGGTGCAAAGTGTCCAATATTCATGTATGTTATGAGTAATTCAAATTTGCATGTATGAATAAACAGTTGTGAATTTTGATCATTGTTATTAATTCTATAATGGATTATAATTCCACATGATAATTGATGTATTTATTGAAACAGTGATTCGATCAGAATGGACGATGCCACTACGTGCCAACACGCACACCATCAATGACGGCAGGTTTCATTTGATGTCCAGTGTGAGAACGTGCCAATTTTATGCAATTCGGCGTAAATTTTGTGTTTAGACTTTGCTGTATTGTGTATAGTATTTGATAATTATATCTGTTGATTTTAAGGAATTTTGGCTTGTTTAAACTTAATTTGAGCCCGTTAAAATCAAATTTTCGATAGAATGGTAACGTTCATTCATTTTTGTGGACATTTTTATGCTCCTTTGGTAGACACGACTGCACTAGCCTAACTGAAACCATTTTGATTAATATTCTATACAGATGAAATTCAGTAAGGTTCACGATCAAAGAAAGGATGGGTTATTTCTAGATGATTTGCTCCATCAAATTGTATATTTGTAGTGATAATTTAAGATTTCTAATTCTTTTTAAAAGTAAGTCATGTCATGTGAAGCATTTTTCGAAACAATCATCTATAGAATGAAATTTTGTGCTGAAGAGCATTAATGAACATATGGAATCAAGACTGAAAAATTGTTTCAATCATTTTTTCTAGAAAAGTGAGGTGTTAATAAGATATTATTTTTATTTCCAGAGTACAATGAATAGTTTAGATTCCATGAAAGATGTCCTCAGACCTCGCCGAATTTTACCTGCAGTTTCTGACCTGATCACAAGAAAAAGAACAAATGAATGCTGAAAAACAAAAAGACTATCAAGAACGAATTAAAAGTAATCCTGAATTATACAAGATTCATAGACTGTCAGAAACACGACGTGTTAAAATTTCAGAAAAAACTTGTCGGAAGAACAAAAAGCTAATAACCGGGAGAAAGCTAAAGATAGAACAAGACGTTTTAGAGAAAGGAAAAAGGCTCGTGGTGAAACTGAAAGAACACCAAAGAAGAAAGTGATGCGATCAGAGAAAAAGGCAGTCAACCCAGTTTGATTTCTTGAAGAAAAACCTTCCAGAAAATTGGGTGCTCATGTGCATGGACTTCAGAGAAAATTACAATTGTCATTTTCAGGATGAGGCCCAAAGTGCCCATTGGTCATATCAACAAGCATCAGTTCATCCCATAGTTGCTTATTATGCATGTCCCTCTAATGCTATTTTAATTTCTATCGACGTTTCTTCTATGTATACCAATATCGATAACACTATTGGTTTAACGGCAGTTCGTAAAGCTTTTAATAGAAACCCAGATCCAAACAGACCCGACGATACAATTCTACAGCTTTTACAGATTTGTCTTAGTCGAAACGATTTCACATTTAATGGTAAAACATATTTACAAACTTCAAGGACAGCTATGGGCAAACGTTTCGCCCCTTCGTACGCAAACCTTTTCATGGCAGAGTGGGAACGTGAGGTGTTGCCCCTCTGTCCATTTGACCCACTTTTTTACGGACGCTTTTTGGATGACATTTTTATGGTTTGGACTTATTCTATCGAACAGTTTTGGAAATTCTTTGAAATTCTCAACAACCACCATTCTTCTATCAAACTAACGGTAAACGTGAGTGACAATAGCATAGACTTTCTCGATACCACTGTCTTTAAGGGAGATTCCATAGCAGAAACAAATAAACTGGATATTAAAGTGTATTTCAAAGAAACTGATACTCATCAACTCTTGCACAAGAGCTCCTTTCACCCAAAACATACCTTTTCTGGTATAATTAAGTCACAAGTTTTGGAAGAGAAACTTTTCTGTTGGGTCTAGTTTAATATTTTGGATTATATTCTTTGAAGATTTTCAAGTTACATGATTACGTATTCATTCAAAAAAAGAATTGTTCAAGTTGTGTTCTTCTTGTTATCAACATAAGTTTTACATACTACTTTTTGTGCTTTTTAGTAAAAACTCGCTTATCTATTACACAGATTACAGATGCCTACACAGATTGTTACTAATATAGTGTCCGTGTTACGAACGTTACTGTGTTGTTCATTAGTGTGCCATAAGAGCGGATGAATTTCCTTCTGTGTCATTAACTTTTAAATTATACTTCGTATTATAAGTGAACGGATATAGTGATTAGGTTGGTTGAAAGGTCCTTTGAATACTGTTGTGTCGAGAAAGTCCATGCTACGTTCGCTGATATTGGCCGTTAATTTAATAGATGGGCGGTGGTTATTCAAAATTTCAAAATATTGCCAGAATTCTTAAAGAGTATACTGCCAGATTTAAGGTAAATTTTGTTATTGAAAGAAAAATCATATTACTCTAATAATATTTCGAATAAATTAAAAATTTCGGAATCTGGTCTTTTTTGATCTGGATATCTCTCAAATGATTTTCTAACCGCTTTTAACGTGCTACATTATCAATATTAGTATACATGCTGCTGACGTCAAGTGATATAAGATAGCTTGCCAGGCAAGGTAACATACGCCCACTGGCAGAAATGATTAAAACATTTAGTGACTAAAGTATGAATTTTCTCATATTAAAGAAATTTTAATAGTTTGAATTCAATGATACATACAGTAGAAACTGTATTAAGAAACCACGCAGGGGAAAATTCAAAAACGGTCTATTATAGGAGGTGGTCTCTTATGAGAGAATTGAGTCGGCTGAAACAATTTCATTCATTTCATTTATTTCATTCTATGTATTAGAAATATACAAAATAACAATATAACATTATAGATATTATTTACATTTTTTTAATAAGGAAATCTTGTATAGAAGTTTGTCGGTTACTTCTATTTATTTTTTTATTAACTGTTATATCTTTTAAATCCATAATTGTATGTAGCATCCCTAACTCTGATGTGTCGTTTTGCACTTTTCATTTTCTTGTTTAAATTGTCCATCCATTCCTCAAAGAGATAAGATGTCATCCAAGCCTTTTCATTACTCCTGTAAGTCACGGGCAATTGATTAATGTCCTTCACCTTCGAAAAACACCTTGGCTTACGAGATTTTCCGAGAACAAGTGGCTACAATTTTTCACCGGTAACACTTGCGCAAAACAAAATTGAAAGGTGTTCTTTTGAACGCTTACCACCGGCACAGTCAACTCCCTTTTCATGATAGGTCTTCCTAGACGAATCTTTAAAATTTAAACCCGTTTCGTCCATATTGAAAATGTCACTCGAAACCCTGGCACAAAATCGGTTAAATCCACATCCGCGCGTACACCACTCATAGCACCAAAAACAATGTTATTTCTTTTAAGAAAGGCACTTAACCATCCATTCGACGCTGAAAATGTATCATTTCCCAGATGAGTTGCAAATTTCAAAGCCTTGGCCATTAACAATGGTCCATTTACTACGGCATTCCGGGAGCGACAATCTTTAAAAAACTCATAAGTTAATTTGTTGATTTCTTCATCACCAGTAAACCGTTTCACATGTTTCCAATCTGGAGAAACATTGCTTTCAAAATCCTCCATAATTTCTGCTTTACGCTTCAGAATTCCCTGAATTTGAGTCTTACCAACACCTATTTCATCGGCAATTTGTCGACCAATTTTTCGGCGTTCGCCAAGTTGATGACCTTGACCCTTTCATTTAATGTTAAAACTTTACGTGTAGGCTTCGACATTTTGAAAAATGAATGGCTCTTTCTTAGCTGCCTTTTTATATCGATAATAGGCTGACATTAATCATTAACAAGCTATAAAATTAATCCTTAGACCGATTAACGATAATCTTAATTCATCTCACCGATATGTGAAACAACGTGATGTTTAATCAATGGAGTTAGTAAGTGTCATGGTCGCTTAATTGACTCAATATGATTACACACGAGTGTAAATACACGGTCGCTGGTCGCGTATCAGTTGTTTTGGGGGGTTTTATTGTGGTCGCATATTGAAGGTGATTGCTTAATAAAGGTGGTCGCGTGAGCAGAATATACTGTATATTTACTGCCAGTTATTTATGATCACACCATGTTTCATTAAAATCAATTGAAAACTGTAATGTGTTCAGCAACTAATTTTTCATGCGTTTTTCCTAAGTCAAGGGCAATAACTCAAAGACCGTTCATCAAAATATTAACAAATTCAAACTTGTCCAAGATCTCATCAATATATATAATCACACCAAATTTCATTGATATCAGTTGAAAACTGTAGTCTCTTTTGTGTTCACAAACAAATTTTGACGTGTTTTTTCCAAGTCAAGGGCAATAACTCAAAAACTGTTCATCGAAAGATCGTCAAATTCAAATTCGACCAAGATCTCTTCAATATATATAATCACACCAAATTTCATTAATATCAGTTGGAAACTGTAGTCTCTATTGTGTTCACAAACAAATTTGACGCGTTTTTCCTAAGTCAAGGGCGATAACTCAAAAACGGTTCACCAAAAGATCGTCAAATTTGATCTTGACCAAGATCTCACCATGATCACACCAAATTTCATTAAAATCTGTTGAAAACTGCAGTCTCTATTGTGTTCACAAGAAATGTTGACCGACGGACAGGGGCGACAGCAATATACGTCTACATTTGCATGTGGGCGTATAAAAATAGGCATTTTGAGGAATTTGAATTTTTTTTCAATAAAGTCATTAGTATCCTTAAGATATGATGCCAATAAAAAAATATCCTAAATCGGTCCACCCCCCCACATCTAATTTAAATGAGAAAACCAATGAGCATGAATGTTCTTTGCTGTGGTTTCCGTACAATGGATATTGTCATTTTGTACCTTTAGAGTTCCAATAAATCCTGTGATGGTAGTGGCATCAGCTGATGGTTTTAATGACATAAGACTGTTGAATTTGGTGAGGTTTTTAAAGGTTGAAGGGAAAGCTTGTTTCAATGAAAGAGAGGTTGGATTGAGAGTGACAAACAAGGAGGCTTTTGGAAATTTGGCTCTGGTAATGGTCATTAGTTCTAACATTTGGTTGTATATATATTCTCCGTCTTCTTGTTTGTCAATTAGACCTACATGGACTACCTCTTTATCTGGTATCTGGCTTGGTTCAGCTTTGGAGAGGATTGACTTTAGATGGCATATTCTGGCACTAGGATAACTTTCAATCTGGGTTTTTGACGTACCATTAGGAACGCGGCCTAAATTTGAAGAGTCAATGATTAGAATTGGTTTGGTAGGTTAGGCTAAGCTGGATTTTAATTTATCACTTTGGCAGTTATGAACGTGAGGTTTGGTAAATGAATTCGATGTTGATGGATGGCTAGTCACGCCAGAAGAAGTAGATGGTGATGAAGATTGAGATGATGAAGAATGAGCAAGGGGTCGATCAAAGGATAACGAATTAAGAGATGTTGATGACATAGATGGCACATTGGGATTTGACAGAGAGATGGTAGGACTATCGGTAGGTGAATTAGGTAAAGATGATATGTGGTAAGTGGTCTTTCTTTTAGAAGGAGTTTCAAAAGTGGATGGAAAATTGGTAAGTGAATAGGATCTGTTCCTTTTCTGCTTTCCGGAGGACTGTGGGACGAAATTAAATCTGTTGGGAGGTGGCGGATGGATTGGAAGAGATATTTCTACCAATTCTACATTCCTACATCCATATCCTGAAGAGCATCTGAAGCGGTATTCTTATTACCTGCCAAAAGAGATTTGAACTGTTCGACTACAGTTTGTTCTAAACGAGATTTGTTAATTTGTTCTATAGCCGAAGTAATGATGGTATTTTTGAGAACCGGATGAATGAATTCATTCAAATGAGTTACCTTTTTCGAAAGGCCTTGACTAAGAGAACCGTTTAATTGTTTTGAAACAGCATTGATATGATGGAGACATTGCAAAAGTTGATAACATCCTAATCGAAGCAGCCGATGTATCTGACAATCCAGATTGGCGATTACTGGGTCGGCTATTGTTCTGTGGTTGATTTCGACGACTATTGTGGCTCTTATGGCAGTTATCAAATAGAATATTTAATATTGGTAATATAAATGTTGATTACTGTAAATGTTATAAATACTTGGGAGTATGGTTAGACAAACATCTAACTTTTAAACTATGTATTAACGAATTAGCTAAGTCTGCTAGTAGGGCATTGTCATCACTTTGTACAAAACACTTCCAGGTGAGAGGATTCCCGTATAGTGTTTTCACCAAACTTTATGAAACGCTAGTACATCCATTAGGTCATATGATGCTGGAAGATGGGGTATGGTAGAGCATAAATAATTGAATAGTGTACAAAACAGAGCATGAAAGGTATTTTTGGGCCTAAAACAAAACAGTCCAAACCTGGCAGCTAGGGGCGACATGGGTTGGACATCATGCCTAACCAAACAAAGAGTTGAAATATTAAGACTATTTTGTCGTTTGAAATGTTTATCAAACGATAGACTTCCTGTAATGATAAGTATTTGGTCCTCTAGACGTAGCAAATCTTAGGAAAATAATGCAGTTAAGAAACCTTAATGTGAGCAATATATGTAATGTTGATGATATTAGTAAGAGTCACATGACCCCCCTAAAACATCATTTGCTCCAAATTGATGAGTCTTAAATGGTTCCAGGATCTTTGGAATGATGTTAAAAACCTGAATGGTAATAATTTAAGAACATATCGTTTATTTAAAAAAGACCTAAAACCTGAACCACATTTATCACATTTTCTCCCAGGCCACTTAAGGAAAGCCATGGCTTTATTACGAAGTGGAAGTTCTGACCTAATGATTGAAAAATTGAGATATAGTCATCCTCCTACCCCACTTAATTGTCGAACCTGTCCCTTTTGTTTAGAGATTGAGACAGAAACTCATTTTTTAGTACAATGCGATATGTATTCAGATATCCATTTTGAATTATTTCAGGAAATGCATAAAGTAGATTATAATTTCTATAACCTGTCCTCCAAGGAAAAAGTTCACTGCTGTAATTAAATTTTTCCTTCTCATGTTTTAAAATATCCCATATTTTTGATACAATAGATTGAACACAAAATCTCAGAAATTTTTATTTTAAAATTAACAATTAAAGGAAAATAATAATATACTGTTATATGAATACATTCTCTTTAAAGAAAGGGTCCAGAGATTTGACAACTTTGTCTTAAATAAATTGTCCCTATCGCGTTTAAAAACACAGAAAATTTGTGAATCGTGCTCCGACGCGTTACCGAGATATTGCCGATAAAAGACGAATATCCCGCATGATATACCTTGCTGATTGGATTTTAAGGAATCCCCTCTCGTGATGTAGTCGGCGTAAGCGAGAAGAACCGGAAGTTCTAACCTACAGTACGAAAGCGTGTAGAATTTTGTGTTTGTGTTTGATTATTATAAGTTTTTATCATCCCGGAGCGATGTGCTGTAGCGGGGTGCAGTAATACCAACAAAGATGGTGTTGCAGTACATACATTTCCGAAAGAAACAAGTTGAGGGCTCATTGGACACGGTTTGTTAAACTAACGAGGGCCGACTTTACTCAACCAACGAGACACCAAACCATATGTGAAGACCACTTTGCTTCTGAATGTTACGACCAAAAATACAAAATCAAACAGGCATTGGGCTTCACCGAAAAATGTAAGAAACTTCTTCCTGGATCGGTACCATCAATCTACCCGAAAATAGTTTCAGTATGTAACACAAAAGAGATGTTCTAATTATATGGCCTAATGGAGTTAAATCATTAATGTCCCATATTTCTGAGCTATATTAGGCTAGTTAGAGATGGGCATGTGAATAATATGGACATAATTTTCCTACTCCTACTTCCAATGTCATTTTCTGGACCAATTTCTAAATATTCATAATTTCTTTAGATGATGCGGGATGAGGAAGAACAATCTAATTCAAATGTCAGTGATTTTGAAAATTCATCATTGGGAGATCATGCTACCACATCTTTCCAAGATATTTCCGAAAACAAGGTCTCTACTACAGCAGGTAAATATTAATAACATGCTATTGCTATTGATGCATTTAAATTAATTAGATATTGTTCATGACCTCTGCCCTATGCATGCATACCAATAAAAGAGGCTGCGACATGGCATATAATATCAACTTATGTTTTTTTAAGTTATGTTCAACTTGTTTTAAGACATTTACCTTGTATTTTTCTGGCTATGTAAAGAACAAGAATAGACGTGAATGTGTCACCACCATTATGTTCTACTTATTTCCATCCACAAAATGAGGAAGCCTTGAGGATGAAAACTTCACGATTTACTAATAAATGAAAATTCAGATAACACCTTTTTATATGCCCACATGAATATGTGGTCGTATATTGTCGTCGCCCCGGTCAGTCGGTCTGTCCGTCAACATTTCTTGTGAGCACTATAGAGACTACAGTTTTAACTTCGTTAAAATACGTCGAAATTTGTTAAAAATAGTTTGTGAGCAGGATTGAAGCTACAGTTTTCAACCGATTCTGATGAAACTTGGTG